AAATTTCCATTATAAGTTCCAGTTCTAAGCAATTTAGTGTTTGCCTACTACATCGTTCTAAAAGCCTAATATCGCTGAAGTGGGTGTACTTGGACCAACTGTTCGGGGGAAAACAGCCAAGATATTATGATAGTGGTCTATTTCTGGCAATTCTCAGTAATATACCGAACTATGGATGTGAATAGGCAATGAACTCCCTCTTACTGAATCGATTACATAAGTATTAATGTATGATAACATCACGCAATTAAACACTAAAGGAATTGGGATGATGACAGGGTATGAAAATTAAAAATACAATTAGTCCATAAGTTAGGGAATGAAAAAATCTTAGACACATATTTTTTAATTTGGTCGTATAATAAAACAATACTTAGATAAAACGAATCGAAGTTTAGGAGTGGGGCTAAAACGTCATTTCTACGTATAAAATGTACATAGAAGTGACGTCACGCGACGTTTCAAATCAATATATCATCAAAAGTATTCGTTTTTGTAAGAAAATAAAAAATATGTGTCTAATGATTTTAAATAAACTACCTGACGACCATTAAAATAAAAATTAGGCACATAAAAATAGGGTACTATTCCCATCACTAAATTAAAGAAAATATAGAAAACATAAAGGACACAATTTCAATTCCATTTAAATGTTCGCAAGGCTTTTAATTAGAGACAAATAGCAAACACACATGAAAAATAAACAAACACAAAGAAATTAATAGAGCAATTTAAATAATTTTATTAGGGCTGTCCAAATACAAAGCGAGTTCGGTGCAGCGACAACTGCAGGGCGGACGCATGAGCCCTCTTTGTATGCTAATAGCTTGTGTTTTAGCACAATAGGGCTGCCTCGTAAATACTGCACGGTTACTAAACTTTATGTTCCTGATTCTCTTTTTAAATGTCTTTTAATAATTGTTTCCTTTTTGTTTTTAAATTCTTTGGTTCTTTTTTTGATTTTGTATAGGGAGTATTTCAAGGTCAGGGGTGTTCAAAAGTTAATTCAATTGATTTAATTACAATTAGTTAACACATGTATAATTTATGTTGAGCTGAAAGTTTCTAAATAATAAAATAATACTGTTTCGTCGATAGTAATATAATGTTTAAAGGTATTAAGTAAAAACAATTTCCCAAACTGACTAGTGTCGAAGTGGTCGTAAAATCCCCCTATTGGTTTCTTAGTATCGAATACAATACTTTATTTTATTAGCTGAACATTCATTTCTTATGATTATTAGCTGCAATTATTATAACTATTAAGGAAGTAAAAGGGAGAGCTAAGAAAAATATATCCACACTAATTATGATATGATTGGAAATGTTAAGACGAAGTGTGAATACCGAATTGAGCAAATCATGGCATCGTTCTGTTTTTCTGGTTCAGTTGTTATGTAATGTAATGTAATGTTTAAGGACGATTATGACTTCCAAAATTTTTCCAAAAACATTAGAAATGATCGAAATTAATCGATGTACAGAATGTCCATAGTCCATCCATGGAGATATCACTATAGTTTCGAGCACTGAGCATATAAACATTCTTTATATGTTCTGTGGTTTCGAGTATACATTGACTTAAATAAAATCACTAAGTTAAGTAAGTTCTTATGACATAATATTATGAATAATGTTTCAACACTTTCTGTTAGGTCATTTATATTATTCCTTATTTTTGCGTGCCAACCCTACATTCTGCCGCCTTTTATGCGAACTAGCTAGGATTGGTTACATATGAATTTTCGTTATTTTGAATGCGTATAGTAGAACAATATCAATGCATATTTGCCTTTTTATATTATGTTTATTTCTTTTTGAGTAATATTGTGTTTATACATACGTACTACGTACTTGATATACAGATATTTGTGCATTATATATTTTGTCTATTACAATTTATGTCTGACATGATATTAATGTCTTTTCTTTTTTCAGTAACCGAGGTTTTTGGATTTTAATGTAGTTATATAATATGTATGTGTTGTGTAATATGGGGACTTGTTAAACTTATTCAATTGACCAATAGGACTCAGATACTCCGTACTTCTTTGAGTTGTATACATACCTACTTACTATGTAAGTATACTGTAATGTAAGTAAGTATGAGTATATAGATCACGTAGGAATGTTTAAAGTATTCTGAACGCGAAATTTTGGTGATATTTATAGCTCCTAGCCACGTTAGGTAGCCTAAGGTTAAACTTCTCAATAAACATGACCACGGTTTACGTCGAAAAAGATTTACTATCAAAGTGGATCCTAGAAGGTATCCGTACTCTTTAGTTAAAATATTAATGAGACTATCTGATGTTCTACTTGTCAGGTTAGAATCTGCTATGTGCAATTGAGCGTTATATTGATTGACAACAAATTTTACTAAAAAGAAAGAAAGAAATAATGAAGAAAGAATAACACTTATTCTCAAACAAATCATATGTATATTATGTTGAACGATAAATTGACTCACTGTCGTGAGTTTGTAAAATGAACGAAACTTTTATGTTCCAAATTAGTCAGATCAAATACAATAATGTATTATAAAGTAAATACAATTAAAGTCAAACTTCAAAAACAACACATATTAATGTAAATCTATTCATTTCACCGTAAACTGGTTAACTGATTAATTTTGTACGTCTTGGTGAATAATGTAGACACACTAGATATCATTAAAGCTAGACACGTAGCTAATCAAATTAATCATGCGGTTTGATAGCGTTATATGTGATTTAAGGGGTCATATCGAACGGTACGTGAGTCGGTTCTCGATCACAATTAGAACGCCTTTGAAAACATCCCACACATACACAAGTAAGTTACTATGAAACTTTATAAAAAATATCTTGCTTTGAATATTTTACAACAATAAGTTACAAAGAAAATACATTTAAAGATGTTCATATATTTGAAACAGAAAACGAACTTAAAATGTAAACTTCCCTTCAAATCTTCACCAATTTGACGCAAGATTGATTCAATTGAGTTCCACCATTTCCATTTTGTATGCAACCGGATAATACTCGAAGAGTTTCTCTTCGATGTCCCCACCATCATAACGAGATCTCTTATGGCTCTAACCGTACAAACAGATACAACATTCGAAAACTGGTAACTAGTTATTGTTAGAGATCTTGTTCAGTTGGGTGCTTTCATGTCTCTTGACATTTGAGAAGCCGAGAATCGCCCAAAGCGGACCCCTTTTTAGGGCGTGAAATTGAATCTTGTTGCGGGTGGAGGGTGCACAGGAAACTTAAATATTTAAGGGGGAATTACCATCTAGAGAGGCAGCCCGACGATTCAGAGGTAAGGTATTAATTTTACGATCCCCATTGTAACCGTCGACGGGGATGTATGAACTCGTTAAGTTCTAACAGTCGTTTGTAGACAGGATTCAGCTTTATGGTCGAGGAGGGTGTTTAAGAGTTGACTTTCACTGTGCAGTTTGAATTAATTAAAATTAGCGAAATTTCGTGGGTGTTACACATTTCCCTTGTGTGCGACACAGCTGATGAGATTGCGTGGTCGCTCGTAAAAAGTTTAAATCAGATTGTGTGAGAGTGCCGGGAAAAGTTTTTCATAAGCCGTATTAACTTATAAACTGCGAATGTTCCGTGCCGACTGATGAGCTCGCCAAAAAGTGATTTGTTAATTCCGAAACTTTTGAAAAGACCGCATTTTATTCCGTTTTTTTAAGGTGCTTTTTTGATAACATTTCTAAAACTACGCCTTCATGTTTATCGTATATCTGTAATCTTTATTGTCATTTCATTGCTGCATCAGTTTCTTATACCCCACCCGTTTCATTGACCTCATCATCAATATTAAGTTCAGAAACTCAGAGTTTGACAGCAACTCGTTAATTTGATAAGGCATCGATACCTTTGTCTTTATCCGGTAACATAGGGACCGCGTCTAGTGTTGGGGGGCTATGTTCCAAGGGATCTGCTGTTCTATCCCGGGGGAAGTCAATTTCATTAATACTGCGGTTGGCACCCTTCTAGGGAGGCGTACATTTTTAAACATATTAACTGTAATTGAATACCTGCTCTCTGTGCAATGAATTAAGATTAAGGTGTCTCGGTTCAGGTTTTTCCTGTTGGGGCTATTTATTAATTACTTAGGAAAAAGTAGAAAAGTTTCCTTTGAATTATGGCTGATGTTCACCTGCAATGATACCTATTATAGATAGTTACCTATTATATGTAGGGGGTATGGTATTCCGATATTTTATGTTATTGTTACGTGATTACATTAGAAGTTAAAGTTGACCTTAAATTATTGCTAACCAGTCTTTTCTTTAGACATGGTACCTAGGTATAACTAAAATCAGCGATTTATACATAAAGGCTGACAAAAGTATCGTCACTAGTAAAGAAGTATTTAAGGTCTGTCATTAAAATACATTTTTGATAAATCCATTACCACTTTTATTTATTTTTTCAATTCACTTTTACGTATTTTTGTTGATAACGCATTTCTCGCAGTAACCTCAATTTATCATTTATTGTATTTTATTTTTATTTTATCATTAAAAAACATCATTTTAATAAATTAGGGGAGGGGTTACATTTCGAATCCCTAATAAGACGGCATGTACATATTTCTTCTAAGAAAAGTTAATAAGTTTCTTCTGTTTATTATTCTAGGCGGGCCACTTGCTGCCACAAAAACATATTTTTCGCATAAAGAAAATATTAAGGCTTAAAGAGTTCGAATTTTTTGTGATGTAATCTTGAGAGATTACCTTGAATTTCTTTCGGAGGGGAGGAAATTGTTTTACAGTTGTTTTTATTTGCAAAGTTTATTATATAATAAAGAGGTTTCTATCGAGTCTGATTCGACTAACATTTGAGCTAAATCTGATTATTTCAATGCTTAAAGATAGCACTTCTTATTTTATCAATCTTATCATATGGTCAGCTAGTAGTGCTCAGATTGTACAGTTGAGCATGCCGCATTAAAATAATCTTTTCAAGATATCAGTGTATAATAGCACTGCCCAATAGTGCTGCCCCAAATAACTATTTCAGTTTTCTAACAATTGTGATCTATGATAGACGTGATGGCAGTAAAATATATTATTTTGTTCTCCGCGTGCATTGTGCTAGCCTTAACTCAAGATAGTGGATTGCAAACTGTTAATGGAAGAATAAAGATTACTGTGGGTACCACAGCAGGATGCTCTGATACAGTAAATTTCATTAACAACCAGCTGATACCAACAGTTGAAGCGTATGGAGACTTTCTTGACATCGAATTTGTACCGTGGGGAAGGGCAACTTGGGTGGACAACGAAATCTCATGTCAATTTGGTGTTAACGACTGTTGGGCTAATCGTCTACACCGTTGCGTTCTGGACAAGCTGAAGAATGACCAAGCCGCCCAGCTCCACTATATGGCTTGCGAGTTTTCTACGCCATACCCATCGTACTTGCAAGGGACTTATCTCTGTGTTCAAGCTTTCGGCCTAAACCTGCTGGATGTTGATTACTGTGTCGCTAATCCTAAAGACAATTTGGATAGAGAAGCTTTGGAAGGTGCAGTACAGCCAATAGCAACAATAAATTTCGTTCCATACATCATATTCAACGACAACTTGAATCTGGAACTTCACCGAGAAGGTTTCAGCAGGCTTGCGAGTTTGGTCTGTTTTGCTCTGACGGAGGACCCGAGTACTGGGGTAACTAGCTGTTCTATTTAAAATTTTAACAGTCAAATACACGAAAGACAAAATTACTTGATTTTTTCTTAGACCCAGTTGGACCTTTTCTGGTTAAGTTTCAACTATGTTGTTTTGTTGAACTTCACAGTTCATATAGTAAATGTGTTAAAATATATGTCTAAGTTAAGCTACCAGGCAAATATACAGGCCCAGGTATATGCTGGTGCCCATTTTGTACTCAATGGTCAACTTTTACCCGATTTAAATAGACACGTGCAATTGGATAATCGTCGAGATTACGCCTGAAAACTTAGTGAAATTGTATAAGAGAAGCATTATATTCTTTCAGTCTTCCTAAAAATGGGATTGATGTTGATTGAATGGCATTGACATACATACGACAAATAATTATGTCAACTCTCAAGTTTTATTATATTCAAGGAAAGTTGGTATTGTAAAATGTCTGTAATAAATAACAGAAATTGTATTGTAATATCTTTTTATATTAATTTAGGACAATTTAAGAATATTATGTGATTTATTTTAATATATTTATGAACAGATATTTTCAGTCGATATTGAGTGTTTGAGTTTCTTCATGATCCGTCATAGATATACTAAATCCCTGAGTTTGTTTCGGCATTTCTTCTCAGAGTAGTCAGTTAGGAAATGTCGGCCTCATCGTTCGCTTGATAAAATTGACGTGTAAAAGTGCTGCCGTGCAGCCTATTTGCAGAAATAAATTCACTTGTTTCACCTGGTTAAACCTGTTGTTAGATTATTGATATTTCTAACTAGTAATAACTGACTGTATGTTTAACGCGGTGGTTAGGTAACCGGCTGCCGTGGAACGTAAACCGGGTTCGATTTCCGCACGGAGCAACTGTTTATGTGATCCACAAATTGTAGGCATCACTAAAAAAATAACGACTGTTTGAGATGTTACGTGACTGAAGTTTTATCATGGTTTCTGAGGTATGGGAATTAAGCAAACTTCCTTGTGTGGACTGCTAAGGAATGGAATTCCTTGCCGGAATCTGTGTTTCCCTATAAATACAACTTGACTGTCTTCGAGTCCTGAGTGAACAGGTTGCTCATACGTAGCTACGTGCTCCATCGTCGGCCACATCATCGCTTACCAGGCAAGATGGAGGCCAAACGTCAACCTATCAAGTACCTATAAAAACAGACATTTTCGGGTTTATTAAATTGTCGAACACCAAGCGGTCACCGGTGACCGCAACCTATTGTTCTATAATTGTGTCTATAATGACGGTACTCGTCGAGTTAATTTAAAATCGCGTTTTACTCACGTGAATATACTGAGTAAAGCTCTTCTAGTTTCGAACCATAGAGGGGTTTTTCCTCATAAGCAGCGTGCGCGGTCGCGGCGATGTCGCGCAGCCTTCTTTTAGTTAATTTAGTTACCGCGATTTTAGTATGTCTCACGATAGTTATTATAAATTCCTTTTGGGTTTCTAGATACTTGGCTATCAATTTTATATTAATAAGATAGCGTCTGCCAGCTGCTTCACCCGCGGTACCGTGAGGTAAAAAGTAACTTAGATGTTATTCCCGACCATATGTTGCATTTTAATTTTATCTTTTTTTCTGTCATAAGTGTCTTCTGACTATAAGAAAAACAAGAAAAAAAAAAATAGTGAAAACAGTCCAAAATTATAACTTAAAAATAATTTAATACTACTTGAAAATAACTATCATTCTTATCGATGTTATCGTTAACTCAGATAATCGGTAACAGCTACAGGGTGTACTTTTTATAGTTATTAATACTACTAGCTTTTCCCCGCGGTTTCGTTCGCGTCACAAAAGGATAAAAAGCCAATGTGACATATATCAATACACACAGCGCCATCTATACCAATACTTTTGTTTTCCCTCAGGAACATCAAATTTTTCCGGGATAAAAAGTACCCTATTATTTAATCCGGACTTGTAACTATACATCTGCAAAAATTCAAAGCAATCGGTTTAGTAGTTATGGCGTGAAAGCGGAACAAACAAACCAACAAACAAACTCACTTTCCGATTTATAATATTAGTAAGAATTTTCTCCACTTTCGGCGACGCTAACTGTAATAGGCTATTTATCGAAGCGCATGCGATATTACTGGCCATTGTATCTTCCTATTATTATTGGCTTTTGTTAAATTTAGTTGTTTGCGTTGTAGCTGTGAGTTAAACAGGTTTTATAACTTGAATATATAAAAAAAAAAATTGTGGTTCGCAACCTTCTCCACGTAGAATATAAGTTTTAGGATACATATAACTTCCTTTTGGTTCAATTTATAAATTAAAAATATGTTATGCCTATATTACTCTTTAGTACATCAGCTATTTGTCATTGTACCTCCGGTAACCTCACTCATACGACGCAGTAGTATACAAAATGTAGTATAGCAATACCTTAAACCAATTTGAAGTAGAAGAGGGTAAGGCACACAGGACAAAAAAGGCCACAGAAAATGTTCAGTTACCTATGTGTTGAATGTCTTGTACTGATAATGATGACGACGATAATGAATTTAAACCACATTAGTTAAAAAGAATGCCAACAAATTATAATACCCCCTGTATATAATTCTTAGATAATGCACATATTATAACATTAATAAAGTAAAAATAATCATACGAGATATCGGTTTGTGACAGAACTATCGCGAAAAAATCAGTGTTTGTTCTTGTGTAGCGCAAAATAGACGTAATGGCGGCAAAATATATAATTTTATTTTCCGCGTGCTTTGTGCTCGCATCATCTCAAAGTACTGGATTGCAAACAGTGAATGGGAGAATAAAGGTTTCCGTGGGTTTAACATCATCGGAATCTGAAGTATCGAAATTCATTAATAACCAGCTGGTACCAGCGGTGGAAGCGTATGGAAAGTTTCTTGACATCGAATTCGTACCTTGGGGAAGAACAACCTGGGTTAATAACGTTATCCAATGTAATAGTGGCCATGCCGAGTGTTGGGCCAATCGTCTACACAGATGCGTTTTGGACAAGCTGAAGAATGACCAAGCCGCCCAGCTCCACTATATGGCTTGCGAGTTTTCTGCGCCATACCCATCGTACTTGCAAGGATCTTATATCTGTGCTCAAGCTGTCGGCTTAAATCTGCTGGATGTTGATTACTGTGTCGCTAATCCTGGAGACGAATTGGATAGAGCAGCCCAGGAGGCTGCCTCCGTACCAATGGCACAGTTCCAGTTCATCCCATATATCGTTTTCAATGAAGCCATCAATGTTGATTTACACGAAGAAGGTTTGGTCAGACTTCCAAATTTAATCTGTTGGGCTCTATCGGAGGACTCGAGCACTGGAGTAACCAGCTGTCATGTTTAAAAACTCCTGAAGTAGCTATATTATGATATCAGAGTTAAATTCTCAAATGGACGAATCGCAAAGTCTTATCTTATTTAGCCTATGCTGGTGCCAGATTTGTACTAAATGTCCAACTTTCGCCCGCGTTTTAATCTACAAACTTGTACAATTGGGCAATCGTCGAGCGAGATATGGCTAATAACTCTGTGAAATTTTTGAATATAGTCAGTGAAACTGTAATGATAGCATTCTATCCTTTTTGGTATAATAAAATGTTTCGATATCTTAGCAATAAATGATAAATTATTATACCGCCATAATTTTATAATCATTATTTTAGTTTTAAGTATTTTATTGTAGGTACTTAGTATATATCAATGAAAGCAAATAAAATGTTATCAAAATCATGAAACAGATATTGGAATGACAAACTGTAACTTTTTTCTGATCAAACGACCCAGTTGTACAGTCTCTTCTTTGTGCCTTTAGGCTTAATTCATTCTGTCTCCTGCAGTTATTCACCGAGGGAAGTGGAAACTATAGTTTTTTCTTCTTCTCCTCTTATAATATCTTCTGATTCACTTCGTTGCGGGAACCAAGACAGTTGCTCATGTCCCTGGGACCCGCCGGACTTCAATGTTCCGGTGTTTTCATGGTTGTATCTACTGTAGATCCTGGCTTACAGGAGTTGCAGCGGTTTTGGGAGGTTGTGGCGGGCTTGTCCCATAAAAAAAATGATCAAACGACGCCCAATGTCTCTGCGTGTTTTATTTACCTTTTCTCATTAATACATAGAGACATCATGGAAAATGGACCATTTGGCTCAGCACTATTGACCCCAGCGTAAGTAAATATTATATTAAATATTTCTGGAACCTAAGAGCGATATTTTCACTTCGATTTTTAAATCTTCGAAAACCTACCTTGAGGTATTTATCTAACTAAGATTTTAAAATAATTATCCTTAGCATAAAATAACAATACAAGTGTAAATGGTGAACATGACAATGTAATAAATGAATAACTTCTATAAATTTTTGGTGGTATAGGTATTTTGTGTAATTCGTCATTTTATTTTGTAACAGTATTGTAAATGGTTTGCAAACGATCCCACTAACTACTTGTCAGTGCATTGTACAGCGGACATTGTAGTGACACCATGAAATCTCAAAAAATAGGACATTTCTGTTGGCTGACTTTAAAATACTACATTATACCAACCATCAAAACAAATCTGTGGATAAACAATTTAGTTTACCAATTCAATAAAATCTTCAAATTATTATACCTAAATTATATGGAAAATTTAACAATACTATTACGAGTTCCTGAAATGGAACCCGAGACATGACCACGACCAGTCGAGAGAACCGGAGACTATTACAGAGACTCTTTAATCAACAAGATAGCGAATAACGAAGAACCTAACGGGTTACCGGGGCTCCAGCTCGACATGCAGGAGAAGGAACGGGGTGGTTTTTAGTCAGTAAGAGTCTGACACTCCCTCCCGCCTCACCCAGGCGGGAGCAGTCATTCGATGATTTTACCCCCTTAAAAAATGCCATTAACGAAAATCGCGGGTTACTAATAGCTCTACTAGTAGAGCTTTTCTCAATATATTCACGTGAGTAACCCGCGATTTTAGTTAATTTAGTATGTCTCACGATAGTTATTATAAAAAGATAGCCATTTTTTTATTCTGGATAGATAGGTCAGTGTTTGGCCCGTGAGTCGCCTGGTAGTAAGCGGCGATGGAGCACGCCTACCAATAAGCAACGTATTCACTCCATACTTGAAGACACAAAGTTGTATTTTTTAGGAAACACAAATAGAAATCATTTAATACTATTTAGATTATAAAGATGTTGAGAGATTATCTTAAGACATTATTCCGCTTCAATTACATAGGAAATGAGCTAGTGCACAATAGATATTAGATGCCTATACATTTAATCAGACAATGTCGACGTATGGTGTAATCTTAATTAATCTGGTTTGGCTTACGGATTACATACGTACGCATTGATAAACCGTGATAGCTGTTTACTAAGCGTTGCCCAAGTCAATTAGCAGTGATTAAATAAATTAGTATCATGATTAAACATATTACTATTAATTTAGTAATGAAGACCACATATTATAACTTAATTGATTTAATACAACTAAGTGACTTTGTACATATTCGACGAATTTATCGATTGTTATAAAAACAGTCAAACATCTTACGGATAGCAAAATTTTATTTAGCAATACTGAAAAAGCTTTAAAACTAAATTAAGGAAAAAAATAAATGTACTATTTAGCAAATAGCTTACAAGAACATCTTAACAATGAAGAATTTTTATGATTAATTATTAAAATTTGTACAACTTTTTTTTTTATTTTAATGTCCGTCTGGTAGATTATTTTAAAACATTCCACACGTATTTTATATTATTTTACAGAAACGAATACTTTCGACGATGTATTGATTTAAAATGTCGCGTGACGTCACTTCTATGTACATTTTATACGTAGAAATGACGTTTTAGCCTCCACTCCTTTAATTCGTTATATCTAAGTATTATTTTGTTATACAACAAAATAAAAAAAATACGTGTCTAAAACTGACGGATTAATTAGATTTTTAATTTTCATACCCTGTAATCATCCCTATTGATGAATTAAGCGACAGTTCTCAAATGCATGCAAGAGCGACGCACCCTACTACATTATTCCGCCATAGACGGCCTCATGAGCCAATAATGCTGCACCATTAAGCGATTGAAAAATGTCATACACCACTTTGCAGCGCCGATGCGCTACATTAGCTTCGGTTTGGAAAGGGCGCATATTGTATGAAAACCGCTGCCTTATGATGGAAACGCTTTAGAATTATATCCTTGGGACATGCAGTAAAATAAACTGCGATATTTTTGTCGAGGAATGTTTTACTATTGACTTTATTAGCTTCGCTTCATAGTCTGACTTTTGGGTGAAAATTTAAGTGCAAGAATGTCTTGGGGGGTGCGGTGGGTATGACAGGTATATTGTTTTCAAAAATTGTATCGATTTAATTATTATCATTCAACTTAAAGATTTTATCAACGCCAGTCGAACAAATTGATTAGACAACGAAGTAGACATCAGTCTATCTTTACGAATTATTTCAGTTTTATGTATAAGCATATACATAGAACTATTTTATGTATAAGCTTATACATAAAACTGAAATAATGCTTTACATACATATTTGCTTAGAGGTAGTATGTTACAGGAAGAAATTATGTAAGTGCGGAAAAAGCATCTATATACAATTTGTTATTAGAGTTGAATTTACTACGAAAGGATCCCATTACACAACACTGTATATCACAGTATAAGCACGGCTATTAGCCGTATTATGCAGAGCGGGTCGGTAGTTGTAACGGTTATTGAGTTGTCCATGCAGTTACCTATCGTTATTGGCGTTGTAACCGCTTACGTTATTGCTAAACGTTTACTGAGCCCTAATAGTGTTGCCGTGTTGACAAAATTTACCCTGTTTAAGGGCTTTCTAGAATAGGCTTAGTTGCAAATTTCGATCGGCACGTTTTGGAACGAAGTTCGTCTAAAGTCCGGGGTAAATTGTTAGTTCGATAATATTTATGTGTTAGGATTAAAGTGTAAACGAAAATTACTTTGTATACGTCCCTTGGAATAAGATGTTGTCCAGGTGAAAATGTGAATCTTATTTTGGTTCCAATACAATACTATGATTACGACTCAGTATTGATTGACATTAGGTGTCATAATTCCATTGCAATTTGACTGCCTCGTTGGTCTCGGGTCAAAAAATATCAGTGGTAATACGGTGTCTGAAATTGTGCCCGGTATATGACAATAGGTTCACTCCCTATTACATGAGACTCATAACATAAATAGTGAAAAGTGGGTGTTACATTGGACAGTGGCGTTAAATGTGCTGTAATGTACACTCTGCCTACCCTTTCGGGGATAAAACATGTGATGTTATGTTATGTTATCATAATTCTAAGTCAGAAATAAATATTTCATATTGCATTTTATTGTTCAAAACCCATGAATTCCTCAGCATCGTTATTCACATCTCAATAAAATAGTCCGACATCGGGAAGCAAAATAAATTTTTATTAACATTCACAAAGATGCTTCGGCCCTCGGACTCCACGACAAGGACAGATGATTTCTTCAAACCATAAAAGAGGAATAGCAATACACTCAAGATGTAACAAACGAGTTTTGCCGTGGAAGTAGGCAGCTGAATAATTGAAGAAGTATGGTCCCTGGGCGTGCCGGATCGTCTAGCCGTTCGATCGATACTGGCCGAAATGTTACCTGTATACAATGAAGATTTTTGCAGGAACACGAAAATGTTGCATACGTTATTCTCCTAGGCTATGCCGTACCTATTCTTGTTATTTTATTTTGAACCTAGAGTTCTAAGTGCTAAGGATGAATTCATTTTGTTTTTGCAAAAATATTTATGTAACAGCGATAATTATTGTGTCGGTATCAATCTAAGGTATTACTAGTGGTATTAAATGGCGAACAATATCAGTTGTTGTGCGCAACGAGCATATCTAGTGATAAAATTATTCCTTATCTTTGCTAATATTGACATACTGAAGTCGAAAGACTACACAGTTTTAGATTGAACCTAAAATACCGTATTGAACTATCTAACAATATACCTTTTTACACTTCAAAACCAAAATATTTAGCAACCATATTAAAATACACCCTTGGATCATTTCAATATTTTATACCTTCTAAATTCTTTGTCTTTTTTTTTACTTGCCAGTTGCCACGTCCACTTCGTTTACAGCTAACACTTTTTTTGCTATAAAATGTCAACTCTAATTCAATTGTAATAAGGTGGTATGTACAATTAATTGAAAAATATAGGCCACTAAAATGTTCACCCTAGTCGCGAAGATAGAAACTGTGTAATTAAATTACCGTTTCTGGTAATAAACTGCTCACCACGTGGCATTTTATTGCTACATTTTGGGGACTTGATC